TGTACTTCTTGCTTTTCCTGCTTGCTGTTCTCTGCAGTTCCACCACAGCATCACTGTGGTTGTGTAAGCAGCAAATGTAGTTGTCACTGAAGAGAAAACTGGAAGAGCTTGGCAGAGCTGAATTGCAAGAATCAAGGGAAATCCCACACCCCTCTTGGGGCCAGCTCTTGTGAGTCAACAGGGAACGGCGCACTCCCTGGCATCTCAGCGCTCCCTCCAGTGATCAGCTTGGATGAATGAGAGGCTGGAGTTGAGACTTGGTGAAATTAGCTCCTGTTCTTAGGAGGGCTTGATAAGTGACATCACAAATTTTTATTTAAAATTAGTCAAGTCCTGGTCCAGTATGCAACTTTGGTACAGGTGTAATTTAGAAAACTTGGAGCAATCCAGTGCACACTCCACTGAGACATCTTGTGGTCCAGCGCAGGCAAAACTTTTTTTTAGAAAATGAACCAAGATTAGCAATATTTAGAGACTCTGGAAAGTTTTAATCGGGTAAGGAAGTAGGAGATTACTTTTTAAGGAAAAACATATTCGACATACATTATTTGGTTCCAAGCACGGACCTATTATGTATATATTGTTCGTACTACTGATACTGCGAGGAGATGAGATCTCCAGACATGTATTAAGATACCCAGCCCTACTGATTAGTGCTCCTTATGTAAAAGTAACCTGACCTTTCTGTGTAAAATAAGCTAAGTGCTCCTTTAAAATGTTTTTGTCATATCTGCTGAATCTTTTCACTATATTCACTGACAGTAGCCACTGATAGATCAGAATAACTGTAACAAACATTCAGTGTTCCTCTGGCTCCTTCTAGTGCTCCTAATGGCATTTGGAAGAATCCACCAGGCCTGAACAAAAACAACCAATCAGAGCCAAGAAAGATAGTTTATCATTCCCAGGATGTCAAATATAACTTGAAACTTTGGGACTCAAAGTGTCTGTATTTGATAATTTGGGAATGAGACTCGACAATCAACTATCTTTTTTCACAGATTATCTGTCTCATGTACTACTGTCAGGATATAGTGAAAGAAAATATATTTTTATTACCTGAAGCAGCTTTGAATTTCTAACTTGATTCTAATGTGATTTTTGACATATAGCATTCTCAGATATATAACAACTGCCGCAAACTACAGAACTCTCTAATACAGCAAAATTGTTCCACCAGAACAACAAAAACATGTCTGTCTGGTCTGTCCTCACTCCCCTGCTGTGAATTCCTAGTGGTAATGTCTGAGTTAAGCTGACAGACAGACACAATCTCAAAAGCTAAATGGAATGCATTGTTTTACTTTTATATTAACCTTTCAAATATTACTGCAGGACCTTTGCTTTGATCCCTCCCAGCTTTGTCCAAATCCCTTTCATTACTTGAGCATTTGAGTGAGCATACTTCAGACCAGGTTTGGGTGATGAAGGGTTAACGGAGGATGCTTTGGAAGGTCGTGGGGCCCGCTGGGGGGCCACTGCTGGGAGCCACTGTCTTTCTGGCTTATTAGCCCTTCATAAAGATTAGTGCAGACAGGAGGCCAGAGGACAGGACAACAGATTGAGGCCTGACAATCTCTTTATACCATACAGAGAAAATATCATTAGAGGAGAGGTCAGCTGTTTTTCTGAACCGCAGACATGTTGAACTTGAGATTTAGCTACACATCCGCCTAGTAGTTTATTGGAGTGTACAGTACAATGTGTTTCAGACTTCAGTTGCACATGGATGACATCTTAATAGGATCCAGAGGAGAACAAAGACGCTCACCCAGACAGGTAGTGAGAAAGGCCCCAGTTTGCGTGTAAATCATTTTGCCACCACCAGACAACAACATTTCTCCCTTCAATAAAAAACCTCAGGGATTTGGTTGTGTATCTAGTTTTGCTTCTCTTTAAGATGCTTGAATAGGCCAAAATCCTCTTACAGGGACTCCCACTATCCACACTAATTCCTTACGGGTGTCCACATGCTTTACTTTTACCACCTCATTTTTATTACACCACTTTTGGGCCCAGGCGTTCAGCTTTTTCAAACACTTAGATTTTGTTTATTGTGAACATGGATGTGAGTAATGGTGGATTGGTTGTTAAATGGACTTTGAATGCCTCCCCATCTGAGTTCTAGAAGCATTCTTTGTTGGCAGAGTTTAAAAAGGGGGAAGGGGGAAGTTAAGGTTCACAAGGCAGTTGGAGTTCTTTTTAGATGCTATTGTTGTGGAGGGCCCAGACAGGAATGGATGTTAAGATGTGCAGGGGAGGGAATTGAGTGTGTGTGTGTGTGGGTGGGAGAGAGAGAGAGAGAGAGAGAGAGAGAGAGGCTGAGATGGAGTACTCACAGCAAATCTCCTGTCTGGAACTTTATAAGGAACCCCATATATTATAAACAGAGCTTTCCCTCCTCTCTCAAGGGAAGGTAGGAAATGTTAGCTGGGGGTTTTCTTGGATAGAACATTGAACGAGAGGCATCTCTGTTTCCTTTTGAACTAATGCTTTAATATTGCCTGACATTGCTTAAAAGCGTCATGGGTTTGTCAGTGTTATTCTGACTCTGTTGTGGTCAGAGTGTTAATAGTTGCCCCTCAGTGGGCAATAATTGACTGTTATAAACCTCTATTACCATTCAATAGCAGAATTAGCATTGGTTGGCCATTAGCGGACAGCTGCAGCTGTTCCCACTGCTTGTAAAATACCACCAACAGTGTTTCCTCTTTAACTGCTTTGTAGCAGTGGAACAGACAGTGGTACAGACACAAGAGCAAGTGCACTGTTCATCTGAC